TATAAAATATCCATTTATATAATATTTTTTCCTGAATTTAAATTAAGTTTTTATTATATTTATACATATGACAATCTTAATTACAATCTTAATTTTTTTAATAAACTATACACTTATGTATAAACAAAAAACTTTTCAACAGTTTCTGATGAAATTGTAAAACCGATTGATCAAATCATAACCTCTGCATTTTTTTAAAGATATGAAAAAAAATAAAAAGTAAATTTAATGTATTTTTTAAGAAAAAAGTATTTTGTACATAAGAATTAAAAAACAATTTTACAAAAGAATGTTTCAAAAGTTTAATACTGTGCAACTTTATATCCTTTACACTCATTTAAGTTTTCTTCTTTTTCTTTTCTTTGTCTATTTTAAATCAAGATTATCTATAAATAAAGGGTACAAATTGAATAAAATTTTTAAATAATTTTTTTAATTGTTTTTCAATTAGCCACTTCTTAGTAAACGCCAACTAACGGTAACATAACATTGATATTATGTTAATTGGTGTTTATTGGGTTTTCTCATTTATATGAGAAAACTTTACATTTTTAAACACTTTATTTTTAACATTTCTTTTTAATATCTAAATTAAAATATCATTTGATAGCTCAAAATATAGTAAAAAATCTATTTTTTGAAAGAAAAGAATTGATATTTTGATTATTTTCAAATATATCCTTGAAACAAAGTTGTTTCTAGAAAATAAACTGCAAAATATCGATTAATTCCTAGTTATAAAAACTCGACTGTTGAAAAGATTTCGAGCTCTCTTCTAATAATAATAATAATGAAAAGTAAGAACTCAATGGTAGTTCATTTAATACTTCTTGACCCTGATTATAAAGCAAAATGTATTGTATTTATTCAAATAAAATAAGGAAGCACATCTCTACATCTTTAGAAATCAAATATTTATAATTGTATATTTTTGTCTATTCTTAAGGAAAAACTCAAACTAATTTAAGATTCAGAAGATTCAAAAAAAAAAGATAAATAAAATATTACGAAATTATGCTTGATGTCTATTTTATTAACTTTTACTCAGAAACTAAATATTTTTTTTACATAATTATTAATTGTAACTTTCTTTATTTAATATCTTTTTGATTAAATATATAGAATAATACAATCTCCTACAATTTAATTATGTTTTGCGAAATAAAACATCTTCCGAAATCTTGTTCAACGAAATAAAATCTTTTACAATTCAATCATGTTAAAATAAAATAAAACTTATTTAAGTAATTTTATTTAAGTAACTTTATACTTCTTGAGAAGCTCATATTTCTTATATTTAAAAAGAAATGTTAATGAAACACAATTATCATAATCTGTATAATGATCATTATGTTAGGATAGCAGTCGTATAACAATGATCTTGTTTTGTTACAGTTGATTCATAGTTCTCAGAAACTTGATAAGCAAAATCTTATTCAGTAATTTAGCTTGCCATAATACAATACGAGCCTCACAAAAATGTTGGATCAAATTACACGTTGCTTAAATCGCGATCAGTGAACGGAAAAAAACTCAGAAATATAAATTTTAATTGTGTTACTATGATCTGGAAAAGAAAAACAATTCATATATTTTTTAACGCGTCGAATTCAAATTTGCGAAATTTCAGCTTATATTACGCTTTCAAAAAAAAAATGTTTTTATCATCTTTAATAAAAATTCGTATCTAGTAATGTGATAGAAACTTTGAAAAGGCTTTAAAGCTTCTAAATAGTCACTATAGCTATAGTTACTATATATTGAATCATGACGTCAAAAGCTAGAAATGACACGTTAATTTTTATTACGTGCCATTTATAAATAAAGACAATTTGGATAAAATAAAATGATGAAATTGCTTGCTTATCCTCCCCCCCTGACAGTCAATAAATAATCGTAAAAAGGCACGTGTAAATGAAAATTAGCTATGCATGCGCATTGAATAAAGGCATTTCACGTGCTTTTTATTACTTTTTACGGTTATTTGATTGATATCAGAGAAGATAAGCATAGTTTTCATTCATTTTTACAATTTTAAAGCAATCTCATCATTTTATTTTATCCAAATTGTTTTTATTTATAAATGACACGTAATAAAAATTGTATCATTCTTAACTTCTGACGTCACGATTCAATATGTTGCGATGACTACTCAGAAGCCTTAAATTAAAGTTGAAGTGGTGTATTTAGAAATATGAACTTTTCACCAGGCATCATTAAATCTTTAGCGCGTTTTATTTTAAAGATAAACATACATATGTGTAAACATACATAGGATGATATACGTTTATAGGATTGCATTAAGCACAACAAATCACAATTATTTTTTTTTTCACACATTAAATTCTTAATTAACATTTTTATTATATACAACAGTTTATTCTGAGCTTAAATACAATTCTATGTCACTCTTATTCACGTATGCTTACTCCTAAAATAAAGCGCTAAAAGTTCGATAATGCCTACTATGATAAATTTAATATTTTTAAATATTTTTTTGCAATTAATATTTAAGATTCACTTTGAGCATGTTTTCCAAGTCTTTAAATATATTGAGTTTTCTAGCTACGAATGTGTGTTTAAAAATGATAACAAATATTTTTTTGCGGAATTTTAATAACATTTTCTTTCAAAAATCTAATGTGATAGAACACTTTCGCTTGTGGATTCAGATATAACGCGTCAAAAATTATAAAAAACAACTTTTATTTTCCAAACCATAAATTTTTGTATCTTTATATTAGCTCTTATTTTTTCGAACTATTAAAAAAATTGTTCCTTTTATACAAAGAAAAATAAGAAATAATTATCTAAAGCTTTTTGCATTTGTATGAAAAAAAGAAGGAATTATTTGTTATAGAAAAGAAGATAAGAAGTTTTCCTGTTTCCTAAGTCAAGGAACAATGGCTAAAGTCACTAGTTGTGCAATCACATGAAACAAAAGAAATACATGTTAACTTATTTTTAACGAAAGATTGCAAGATCTGACTTAACTTCAACGGTTCGTTTCCTATAGTTTTGATAATAATTTCCTCAATTCGGGTTGTCTCAGGTGATTGTGACTGGACGAAAGACAACGGCACAGTCGCGTGGGTATACCCTTCGGAATGGCCCTAAGTTACGTAATGCTATAATGCCGCCGTTTAAAGCCAATTGACCTCGTTATACACGTTTGCGCTAAAGGAAGTTTAACAATTGCCATTCAACTGGGCAAACCGTTGTATGCACCGCGAATCAAACGTGCTCCATGCTTCCGTCTTTTTCTAGCATCGCTTCTATTTACCTTCCTCACTTATCGCGCTTTATAATGCTTCGGACATTAATATGGAGCTGCGTGAAAGATTCGAGTGGAAGATGATGCACACTTTGTGTGGTTACAGGATCCTATCTCATAACAAGTGTAAAATATTTTAACAAATCTACAGAAACTCCCCAAAAAGTTCCTTTATCTCTTTTAGATACAAACATAGCACTTTAATGGTTTTTTTTTTCCAATGTCTTAGAACAAGAAATTTTAAATTCCTTTATCTCTTTTAGATACAAACATAGCACTTTAATGTTTTTTTTTCCAATGTCTTAGAACAAGAAATTTTAAATAGCAGACTCGAAAAGAGACGAACAAAAGTATATAGGATTTTTTCGCTATATGTCAAGGTTAATCATATTTCAAGGATATATCTTGATATATGAATTTTTCGAAACTTAGTGTGGCTAGCATGAAACTTCAATCATACACAGAGGCTTCTGAGCCAATTAAACCAAAACAATCTTGTGAATTAATACACAGTGTTGGCGTATGCATTTGAAAGTCTTCTCTTTATTGTAACAGGAAAATTGAATTGACCAGTCAGTTGCCGATATTAGAAGAAGATAGATGTAACAT